ATAGAAAGCGTTATAATTGACATAAAACTTATGAAAACAGATAAGTTGGAGATGAAAATATCTTAGTGAAAATATTTTAATAGTAGATGAATCCAATTAATTCTTATCAGATTGACTGTTATAGGTCATTTACGTAAAACCTCTTTTAGATTGACTATTCGTTAGTCAATAGTATATTCTGACTAGGAGAAAATCGTCACTCAAAACAATAAAATTACTTGGTAGAGCAAATTAAATAATCTAAGTCAATAGTGTATGATTATTGAACGCTTTCAGCTCAGATACAATTATTCAGTCTGTTCAAATGAGAAAATCAATTACACTTATATTTTATATTGTTTTAACTAAAAACAACTTTCCTGATGCTTTTTTTCCCATAAATATAATCATGCAACGCGACTGCATATCCTAAAACTATCAAATTTTCTTTATTTATTAAGCACATAGGAACAAAATACTACTGCTTAAATCTGGGAAAGTTCATTGGGCATTTAAAATTGAACAATATATAAATGTTTATTTCATGTTGTTTGTATTTCTTTAACACCGTTGTTAGCTGTTATTTATTTAATTTTCCTTGAGATCTCCATTGACGTTTGTAGGTAGGTGCTATAAAGTGTAGAATTAAACAAAAAATAAAAGATTTTAATTGGCTATCGTGAAGGCATTATTCAGCCAACCTTTTACTAATGAAAGAATAGAACCCTAAAACGATCGATTTAAACTGTTTAATGTATTCGTTCAGTTGTCTGTATGAATACACATATATAGAAAGAACAAATTAGATTATGCATTTGGGAGTTAGAGAATTTGAGTCGAAGCTGTTTCAACTTTAGTCAACTTTAATACCCGTTGAACTTGGATTCTTAGGCTGATGTGCTGAGTAGTCATTGAAATGTTCTGTATATGTTCAAAAATCATTTGTATTTCTGTAATCCTTGTACTGCTAATGCAGATAATGTGGTCATTATAAAATAATACACATTAAACCACTATAAATAAACATGTAATGAAGAATTCTTGCAATAACTTTTCGGTTCTCAGGTAAAACATGAAGAAGACGTACTGGTCGCCTCAGTAGAAGCTGAAGCGGAAGTTCAGGCTGTGTTAACAAATGCAATTGCTGCCCTGCCGATCACATTTGAAAATATTAAAGAAGCAAGCAAAAAAGATAATACCTTGAAGACTATCCGCCATTTTCTACTCAATAAGTGGCCCTCAGGACGATTGCAAGGAGAGATTTTACAATACTTCCGTCGACGAGAATCTCTCACAATTGTCGATTCTTGCATCATGTTTGGCCAACGCATTGTTATCTTCAGCACTCTCCGAAGACGAGTACTCAAACAGTTTCATATGGGGCACCCAGGAATGAGCAAAATGAAATCACTGGCACGAAGCTACGCATACTGGCTTTCTATGGATCAAGATATAGAACAATTGTGCCACAGCTGCGAATCATGTTTAGAAGCGGCGAAGAACCCAATGAAAGTAAAACCACAACCATGACCGAAACCTGATGGTCCCTGGCAAAGATTACACGCGGATTTCGCCGGCCCGATACAAGGCAGGAACTTTTTAGTCATTGTGGACGCCTACACAAAGTGGCCGGAAGTATATGAAATGAAAAGTACGACGTCGGAGAATACAATTTCCAAATTATCAAGTCTATTCTCTTGTTTCGGCGTCCCAGAAATCTTAGTAACGGATAATGGCACTAAATTTATGTCTTCAACGTTCAAACGTTTTTGCAGTGAAAATGGTATACGGCACCTTCAGTCTCCTCCATACCATCCCCAATCCAATGGACAAGTTGAGAGGTTTGTAGATACGATTAAAAGAGCTTGGCTTAAGGGGGAAAGAGAGGGTAACCCGGAACAGGTGGTCAAAAGATTCCTAATGACCTACAGAGTCACACCTAACCCGGTGGTGCCAGAAAGGAAATCACCAGCAGAATGTATGTTTGGAAGGAAAATCTGAACGATATTCAACAGAATATTACCACCCAAGAAAACAACAAAACCTGTACACGAATATCCGACGAGCGACCGCAGCTTAAAGGTGGGTGAGAAAGTACTTGTAAAGTGGTATCAAGGCGGTCAGAAATGGAAACCAGGCGTCGTAGAACGGCGTATCGGGAAGGTACTTTATTTAGTCCGGAGAAGGGACGGAAAGTGTATCAGACACATTAATCAGATTGGGAAAGATCATAGAACAGCGACATATACACGACTACCGTTCCACATGCTGATGGATTTAACGCAGAAAAGCCTGGAAGAATGCCGCAACCAACGACTTAGAAAACGTAAAAGTGAAATCGCACAGCCGACAAGGATGCTGAACAGAAAAAGGAGAGCAACAGCAATGTTTCAAGTAGATCCAAAAAGAAAGTCATACGTCACAAACTTCAAAGAGGGGAGGTGTAAGGACGGCTCATCGGTAGACTCTAGGAAGAGTCAAGAAGCCCAGGAAGAGCCAAAGACATTCCATCCAATCACTGCTAGGGGAATGTTCTAGAATGTCGACGTGTAGCTTCCCCATTGGATGGATTAGAATGACCCCTATGTGCCTATTGGTTGACCTAAATGATGATTTACATTCAGCCAAAAAACTATAAATACACGAGATTTCTGTGCTATATTTTGACACTGATTTGGGGAATAAACTTCCTACTTACTAGTCTTTTGTCTATCGTTCTATCGTTCAAGTAGTCTAGTAGTTCGTGGCATATTAAGAATCAAGGCTCTAGATATAACATATTCATTACGTCGATGCCAACATTTTTCCAATTAACATATATTTATTAGTCAAAATATATGACTATCTGTTATTTCTCAACTGATTATAATGGAGAGAGATTATATTCTTTCATAATCTGCTACTTTACCATCCGTACTCATATGTATCATGCTCATCAGAAATGTTTGTTTTCAATGTAGCAATATAAAATACTGCTTTTTAGCTTAATTACCTGGGCTTTTTTGGTAACGTCTTACTTACTTACTTATGCCTGTTACTCCCAACGAAGCATAGGTCGCCGACCAGCATTCTCCAACCCACTATATCCTGGGCCTTCCTTTCTAGTTCTATCCAAATTTTGTTCATTCTTCTCAAGTCTGTCTCCATTTCTCGGCGTAATGTGTTCTTTGGTCTTCCTCTTCTCTTTTGACCTACAGGACTCCATGTGAGGGCTTGTTGTGTGACGCAGTTGGGTGACTTCGTTAATGAATGTACTATCCATTTTCAGCGCGTCTTCCTGATTTCTTTCTCTGCTGGAATCTGGTTTGTTGTCTCCCACAGTAGAATATTGTTAATAGTGTCTGGCCAACGGATTGGAAGTATCTTGCGTAGACAACTATTAATAAACACCTGTATTTTCTGGATGATGGCTTTCGTAGTCCTCCACGTCTCCCCCTCATACAGAAAAACTGTCTTGACATTTGTATTAGAAATTGTGATCTTGTTATTGGTTGACAATTGTTTTAGGTTCCAGATGTTCTTCATTTGTAAATATGGTGCTCTTGCTTTGCCGATCCTCGCCCTCACGTCTGCATCAGATCCATTGTGTTCATCAATGATTCTGCCCAGATATGTAAAGGTTTCCAAATCCTTAAAAGCTTCTCTATCAAGTGTAATTTTATTGGTGCATGGTGTATTGTATCGGAGAGTCTTGCTTTTCCCTTTGTTTAGATTGAAACCTACTGCTAATACACTGGTCGTCTTCTCCTGCATTTATTGTTGAGTGTGTGATAGAAGAGCCGGATCATCTGCAAAGTCTAAATCGTCCAGCTGCATCCTAGCTGTCTAATATTTTAAAAAATGGAGAAGTTAATGAATTTGTTGTGACCCAAATATTTATTTTACAGGTGCTGATTTATTCAACATGTTTAGAATAAACGATAACTAAACAATTTGTTGAGCTCTCTCTCTCTCTCTCTCTCTCTATATATATATATATATATATATATATATATATATATATATACAACTTTCAATGTGGGTAACTCCTTCACAACAAACAGTAACATTATCCGAACCTTATTGTATTTATGTACCGAACTGATATAAACACGTCATTTCCCTGCTGCATTTAGCAAAAAATTGATCCCAGAAACTGCTAGAACTAAAATAGAAGTTAGAATTTTTAGAAAAAAGCATATCGTGATTTTTATGTTCTCAACATTATTTTTATTTGTTCTCTAATTACCTTCAAATATACTGTTGAATGTACTTGACGAGTACAGTATGGATCATAAAAAAATATTTTCAGAAGAATATGTTCATTTATATTCGCATCATTCCTTGTGTACAATCATTATAATTATGGGTTTAATTTAGAAAATTTCATTGAATCAATATTTGTATGGGTAAAAACCCGTTAATTTTATATGTTTGAGAGTCAGTTTACAGGCTTTCTGTTTTTAACGTTTCAGGTAACTTATAAGCATCTCTATAAATAATGCAGTTTCATTTACATTTATACCTAATGACTAATGAAATACAGATAATTCAAAATATTCAGATGAAAAATAATTTTTTCAGTTATGTTTCTATGTGTCAGCAGTAACTTTCAAATGATTTTGGAGCTTGTTATTTGATACAGAGAAGTTAGCACACGCACACACAGATTTTAAGATTCAAAATTGGTCAGTTGTTCTTCTAAGAAGGAAGGGAATAACAAGGATAAAATTCCATAAAATATTTATTCATATTAAAGTAATCTCAACAGTATAAGGATCTTCAAAAGACATATAAAATTATAAAGACAAGTTGTATGTTTACTGGAGAACAACATGTGTACTTTTATCACAGTCATTTATATCCCAAATATTCTTACTACTAAGGTCGTAAGTTACGTGATGAAGCTAATTTTAATATTTCACAAGGTTTATACAAATAACTCATACATAATCATAAAACAGTATACACAATGTTCAAAAGATGAAATCTCACACAAGTTGTTTGTGCACGCAAATATAAAATAAAAATATGAAGACATTTTATAAAAGTCCATCTAATTTAAGATTACGCCTTATGATAACATCTGTTACAGCATCGAATACAAACTGTATATTTGTAGTATCTGTAGCACATGTAAAATGTGTATAAATTTCTTTTGTTGTCTGTCTATTAAGTGCTTCAAATTTTGTCTGTATATATAATCCAGCTTCTTGATAATTATTTTCACCTATAATAAATAATATATTTAATGATAGAAATGATAGTTTTCAAAGTAAACAATCAATAAATTTAATAGTCGTTTGTAAAATGTTTGTTACAAATGAAAAATAAACATTTCAAAAGAACAATAAAATGATCATGACAATGTAGAAAGTTCAACTTTATATCTGTTCGTTTAATATTGTGATACAGTTTTTATAGCTTACATATTACAAACTAAAATAATCTTAGTATTCTGGAGCGCAATTCAGTAACCATGCAAATTCCTACGCTTGTTCGGCTGGTTACGCATTTGGAGAAGAAGAAGACTATGTGAAACGTTCCATTGATAAAATTTGAGTTTTAATATTTACAGCTCATTCACATTCACAGATTTTCAAAGTTTGTGAACAATATGTGTTTATGTCTGATTAGATGAATAATTCATTATCTCATAACAACTCGCCCACTATAGGTTCTCTTCATCTGAAGGTACTTAAAACATGTGATTTTCCGAATGTCAGGAACAACAATTGGCTAACTATATTAGTTACAAACGCCATTTCAACTGTCATGTAAACATAATTTTGAATGTGCACCTCACTACTGGTTTCTCTAGTAAACATGCAATGATGAAATATTCAGTTACTAAATTTAACTTTGTAATAGAGCGAGAAGAGTATTACAACTTTTACATGGTTATAACAAAATTTATCGTTTGATTTTAACTGACTGTAGTAGCGAAAAAATTCTACTAAATAGTATAGGTTTGTTACCTTTATACCACCATGAAAACACGGGGTCTTGGTTAACTGTTTGCTGTTTACGTTCTACAAGTTCAGCTTACAAAGATTTCTTGAACTAACTGATAATTATGAGTCATTGTTCTACTGATATATACATTCTTACAAATAATTTTACATAATTATTATGAAGATAAGCAATTATTTAACATTGAACCGGAACTACTGTAATTTATTTGTATTAAAATTATATACTTTGATCGACCATACAACTTATGAAAATGCAGATGAACTTTGTTACTACATAGAAAAATAATGATAATATATTGAATAATCTATGTGTATTATCTTTGGTTCTCACTATCGTATAAAAAGATTGAAGTACATAGAAAATTAATTTTTGTGAAAACCTATATCAAATTCCTATTTAACTTTTCAATTTTCTGCTTCTGTCTAAAAGTATACAACTCTATTTTAATTGATTGTTATCATCAGTTTTTTATTCATTATTCTTTATTTCTGCTAGTTGATATAAGTGAAAGAAAACAGATTAGTTTGCTTAAATGCTCATCAGTGTATCCTACTTTACTGACAAGTTTCTTAGTCCTGGATCACTCAGATGATACGAGAGGATTTCAATAAAATCAATTTTATCCTTTTTACTTCTTTATGGGTTAGAGATGTACAATCCTATTTTAAAGCACAGCTTTATTCGTTCAGAATAGACATATTACTTTAAGTACCTAGAAATATATATTGAGCACACAGAGAAATATTAGTGTAAAACTGTGAAACGACTACTAATGGTGAACGACCGCTTGATAATCTACTTATCAGTCACTTGTGAATTAATCAGTTGAGCTATTTTCTAAGATTATACACTGAATTTCAGTTGTTAAAGCTACTTTCCGGAACTAAACGTTGTTTGTGTCACAAACATTTTTCGTCCTTTATTTAAGAATAAAAGCTTAAACTGCGTGTCAACCTACATGTTTAGAATGTATAAGAGATTGCGAACAGATATTCCTCTTAGGGGTATTCTACCATATCACAGACTAATGATAAAATTAGATTGTACTAGCATCGTTGGGTATTTAAATTGGGTATTTAAACACTAAACATCGTATCTACAGTCAAAAGATTCACGTAAATTTTTGTGTGCTATTATACGTGGATTTGAAACAGTATATCTGAATGACGGAACTACTTTAGGAGTGACGCAGGTGTTCTACACAGCACTAAGTAAATTTTGTAAACCTGTTCGTTATGTTGTAAATTATTCATCGATTAAAGCGATTAAATCGAATACTACTGACGATAATCTACAGCTTATTTCAATGCATACTGTCAGTGGTCATAAGCCATACACAGGCTAAAGATGACCAGACATACATTCTTTACTTTAGCTATATACCTAGCTTTTGTACCAACAATATCATTATATTCGTCAATTGATACAATATAAATCAGTTACACTAGCTTTAATTAGCTTTCAAACAAGCAAAAAGACTAAATTTCAATTATTATCAATAAAAACAGCAATGGTAGAAAACCATAACCTATTTTCTTAGGAAAACTTAAAAATTTTAAGTTCATATGTAGTCAGTATAGGAATAATGACTAGATTTTGTCCTAAGATGAGTGAGTAAACTAAACTTTAGTAAATAAAACTTGAAACGATAAGTTCATCTTAAATAGACGTCGATTAATTGTTTACCCAAGAAGACAGTGCGATCAGGGATAGATATTTATTTAGCTGAAAAAATAAAAGTGAATAGATTTCATTTATCGTCAGTTTGGATAATTATGTAGTAAGAAATACACCAACAGCCTTTAAAAACTCGCATATATAAACATTCTATAACATATGTATTTTAAAATATCTACTGTGCAGTTGAACAACATTTTTATCAGATCTGTAAGTTATCTGTTATACAGGTTTCTATCTGATATTCATTGTAACAACTCATATTAGTGATTAAATCATTTTATATTGGATTATCGTCTTTACACATGAACAAACAAATTATGTTCCATATATTTTTATTATTCCACTACAAACCTAATGGTTTGAACTTGTATTACTTGCGAGTAAAATGTTATTATCTTAATAAAGCTACCAGTTAATAATACATAAAGGGTGATTTTCTGTTCATTGGAAATGGTAGCATGAATTTGCAGTTAGTTACCAACAATAGTTGCCTACAGTAGTTCGAAAAACACCCAATGATTGGTAATATAAAACTTTTCCATTGAACTAAAAAAGAGATTGTTGTACTCTAGGTCTAATGAGGATATATGAATGCTGTAAATACAAATACTGTAGACTTATTGGATAATGTTTAGTCACTATTTCTTGAAAGGTTGTATTGGTTTATCAAAAATAAATCACAACCCTGTCAGGCAAGAAACATTAAATTTAACTTTTCACAGTTACATATTTAGCAACATACAGATGCTTTACATAAAAGCAGTCAAATTAACACCACAAACTCATCAGACAGAAAGATATTTGACTATATTTCCTCATTTTCGTAAAACTTTTTTCACTAGGTTGAAAGCTACTTTTCAGTATCTCCAGAACAGTGATAAAACAAATCTTTAAAAGGGTTTTGGTTTCCCGACTATATTTCATTTATTTATAAATGACAAGATTATTGTAATTTATTTTGCAGGATTATGATTTTCTAAATCACATACTCCTTACTGAAATAAATGCAAATACAGAACTTCTATTTAAATTAATCTATTTATAGAAGATCCCAAACAGTTTAACTGTTTTTTAATCCACAATGACACAAATATGATGAATTTTTACACTTTTATATATAACAGTCCATTTGAGTTAGTTTCCTGGATTACCAATAAAACATATGACACTATTCGATTTTATGTCATAAACATTGGTGATTGTTATATGGGAGATGAGAGATGTAGATTTTAAAGACATGAATATACAAAGCATAGGTTTTAGTAAACATTGATACATCTACAACACAGAACACTGAGATTAAGTAGTTCGCTGATATTTTACCTAACAGATCAAACATTATATTTAGACAATTAGAAATAACTATTAGTAGTCCCTGTATATATGTTCTAAAATGTTAACTAAAATGGTCAACAAATCCTTAATTTCTGATGGGTTAAGTGGTTGGAATAAGCATCAGTGTGCTTCTAAATTTATCTAATGAAAAAATGCAATGATTAATATTGGTTTAGAAAATTCATGGCATAACCAATTTTTCGAAAATTGTTTACAAAATGTAATATGAAATTAAGCGATTACTTAGAATTTCGTTTAATTCCTTAAAACGTCTATATTAAAGTTTGGTGTTTTCAGTCAAATAATTTTTCAAAGAGTAATATTCCTTACAGAAATTTTATCCCAGTAATGATCGGTTACTATGAAACATCAAACAGTTATCTTTCTTATTTTGGAACTAGTTAGCAGTCTGCCTACCATTTGCTTCCTCAGAGACAAAACAAAGGATTAAGAGATATAAGTTTGTCATTTTCAACCATTACGCTATATCTTTACAGAAATGAATGAGGTATATAGGTTTCCGGTAGGTCCATGGTTTATTTTATCTACAAATGACTGAAGGTTATCGTAATACGGCTGAAAGAATAAGAACTTGTAAAAAGTGAATGTTTATCACACGATAACAATTTGACGTTAATAATACACATATTACTAGCGATAGAAAAAACTGTACTTTGATGATAGTTTTATATTCCGTAGAGAAGTCAAAATTTGAAAAGGAAGAACTCTATTTCATAGTAATATGGAATGACCTTAAGGCATATAACAGAGTTAATAATTTGATAGCGATGACAATAAATCAGGTCACAATAAATATTATTGCGGAAGTATGATTTAGGAAAATTTTGTCGATGTAATCCTTTAAAGAAGGAACCAACATGCAATAACGTAAACTTAGGCAATCCTATCTCTTAACAGATTAATTAACTGATATAACTTGACAATGAAAAACCTTTTGCAATCAAAACCGATACTTTTAAAAAAAAGCCTTAGGAACACCAATTTTAAATACTTATTAAAAGTTTGTCAAGTTAGTTGTTTAATAAAACAGATAGTGAATAGAATTTTAAAGTGAGGCAAACAAGTTGTTTCGGTGAATAAAAACATATTTTTGTCAATATTATTCGATAAAGTGCAGCTTCCTACCCTGCTAGCTTACTAAATGATGACTATAAAAAAAAATATCCAGCTTATGATTTTTGCATAGTTGAGAATTTTCAACGACATTAAGATTTCAACCTTCATAAGAATAGTTAAAGTCAAAAATTACAAATCCTTCACAAATTCTTTAGTTATTGTCAGCTATATACAAAAGAATAGACTAATGTGAAATAACTTTATAATTAGAAGAAAAAAAAAATTTTTATTTGCTTTGTTCTAGAAATAAATAAGATGGTTGACAAAGCAACTAAAGAACAATTAACTGACACACAACATTTTGAAAAATAAACTTTAAATATTAGCACCCATGGCAAATTTAGTTTGAACTTAAATTACCAGCTCACATTTTTTTTAATCAATTGTGACGTCCAAATATGGGTTATTTCTAACGTGTATTATGCAAAAATTAATTATATAAACTTATTAAGATACACCAAAATTTTATTCATAAAAGCAGTTGAAATTTTTTATTTCATAATAAATAAATATTTTTTCCTGTTCTATGCAAAACAAAACATTGTATTTTGGGAAGCTACTTGTTGCAAATATTACGTTTAGTCTCGATATACATGCAGTTTAAAATTATTGGTTTTTCAAAACAAACGAAAGTTGATGAATTCAGTTATGTCAATAAGTAGATACTTTATATGAATAATACTTAGCTTAGTTTCACATACTAATTTTGATTACTAACAGTCAGCAATTCTACATTTATTAATAAGGTCCTTAAATCAACCCAGGTTGGATATTTATTAAAAACCGAAAAGCACTGGACACCTGCTTTTCCCTGATAATTGACTGCTCAGCAGTATGTATCCTCAATCTCCTTGAAGATAAAACTAATGTTTTGCGTTCTGGCAGTAAAGGCTTAATCTTCAGATCACTCAATAGTTATCAAATGGTTTATATGCCTGATTTCAATCAATTCGTGACATTGTGCAATCAACTTTTATTTTACATTTATTAACAGTTCATGTGATCTTTTTCTAGCCATATGTACGACAAACATTTCAATATATAACCTAATAGTTTAGCCGAAAGTTATAACTAAATAGAATAAAATGCATACCTATTCGACCATTCAACCCCGTTAACTCAAATTATTCTGACTTAAAATTAAATCTTCACTTCAGAGATTATACTTTCTTAAAGGAGTTTTGGATGCATCAGACGTCATCAAACAAACAATTACTAACTCTGAAGGAGTACTTGTTTTATGTTTTTTTTCTTACATATTGAGTACTTTACAAAACAATATTTTGAATAAAGGACAAAACTATCATAAATCACCTCAAGACTGTTACACTCTCAATGATTGTGTTTTACGCATGAAAATAGTTTTATCAAAACTCGGTTTATAAATATCCGAAATTAAATAACATTACATTTTAGTAAATGTTAATAAAGAACTACATGACATGGAACTTTAAATTTTTTGTGAAACTAAAATACAATAATTCGGCCAATATCAAGCTTTATATAGATGAATAAGGTTTAAATTTTTCATTGACTATTAAATTAGCCACGACTACTTAAACTGTTCATTCCATGTTAACAACTTAACGGAATGAATAAGTGTAAATATATTATTTTCAGGAAACACTAATGTGCGACACAAAATCTTTCAGTCCAAAACAGAGACGCATAATTTAAATACTTTCCATAGTTTTATTCGTTTTTGTTTCAATGAGTATTCAAATAATTTCTATACCGTCGTTTATGTTGTTAAATTTTTATAATAATATAAAATATGTTCCCTTTCGAAACAAAATATAAGATACTGTTTAAATAAATTTATGTTACTAATTTATGTAGTCTGTATCTTTTAATTATTCTCATTAAAATATATAGAGCGGAAGTAATAATTCAGAATTGAAATGACAAGATAATTAAAGTAACGTACCTATGTATTCTGGAAAACAAATTGTCAGTGGTGAATGGTAGATTTTCTGTTCAAATAAATCGCGTTTATTCAAAAATAACAGCATACTGGTTTCAGTAAACCAACTATTATTACATATGGAATCAAATAAATTCATAGATTCAACCATTCGATTCTAAAATAACAATAATTAAGGGTATAAAAAATTTTCTTAAAACCAAAAAACATCACAAAGTAAATATATGCATACTTCATGCATAGACCAACAGCTGAGAATATGAAGTATTAAATAAATTTCTACAAAAATACTGGAATAGCCAGGAGAAGGTTAATAGAAAATAACGGCTAATAAACACTAACACAGTTGAAAACCTAATAAACAAGATGCAGAAAATATCTCCAAATTAACTTTTTTACCGATGATCTTGTAGTGAACAAGAACACTAGTGGGGACAATCGAATATCTCATTAAATATGAGAACCATATAGTGAACAGTTATTTTCAAGACAACAATCAGTTGTCTCAATTTGACTGTTCCTTCTGCAAATATTCGTTCATAGCCTCCGATTATAATTGTTCATGCATTTTCGTACCAATTGCTTGCCGTTTCCGTTCTCTCCTTATCGATCTTCTACTGAAATACATTCAATGCCCGACCGTCACCATATACTACTTATGTGGATATCAGTAACCCACACCACAATCCTTTTAGTTCATGAAATATTAGATTTAAACAACTGATGGACTTATTAAAGTGATAAAATCACACCCTAGCATTCAGTCGCTACTGTAGACATATGACTAACAGTAAAATAATTTGACTTCACCTAGTTAATTAGAATTAATTTTTAAATAAACACTAAAGACTGAAATATGTTGAGAAATGATATAAAAATGGTATCTTAAAAAAACATTAACAGACGCAATCAATTAAAAAAATTATTATTTCATATATTTTCATTTCTAAAAATACATTGACAGTTATGTAAGATACCTACTGGCTTATCTAATTTTGATTTCACTGTTCCTCTGGTCGTTTGTCCTATTTGTAAGTCATGAACAAACGTTAGTGTATAAATCCATGATTTAATAACTTGAATAGTTTAAGAAAGAATATGACATTTATATGTAGATGATCCTACAGAATCAATACCATTGTTTGTGAATCCATACCCAGATCAGGTAGTGACATTATGAATCCTATCTAAGATCGACGAATTCTGAAACCTAAATTCATACTTATGGATAATCAAAACACTTTTTATCAATACTAACAAGTGCTTTTGCTGATTATTTTTAATCTCGGAAAGACATTCATGCATCAATACTTAGCTTCTAACGTTTTACAGACGGTTTGTGCTCATGAGTGAATTACAAATGTTTCTTGTAAAGGAAATACTATTGTTTCTTCATGCTTCCTCACATAACGAAGCAATTTTCACATTTAGGTATCTTATTATTTACCCATATTTTGAAGCGATATTCTGATCCTAAATTACTAAGTAGTAACTAGAAAAATATTCCATTAAATAATAATATTCAGAGAAAAATTAACAAATCACTGTAATTCATCCCGTGGCTTATGTCGTGTGCATTCATTTAACTGGCATTGAATATTTAATAACAGGGGCTACACCAGTCATAATCTTATCTGGGGCTCATTTGTATTGCACTAAACTTATCAATTATTTGGAATACATTTAAAAAGCATTCACAATAGACCAAATCAAGTTTAATTACAATAAAAGAATCTGTTCACTAACGTTTATCTATGTATTTCATTACATAGTGGTTAGATTTGTGTTTACCACCATACCTATATTGTCTATAACGATCAGTTAGTTGTCATCGTTATTCTATAAGGTTTTAAATATGTTCCTCAATTTTTACTTCAATCATCTTGAATGGATTATTAACAAAAGAACAATTACGTAAGCACTTAATAAACCATTTACTTCTTGCTAGGATCGATAAACGGCCACAATTAATAAATATTCGTGTCGTTGTCATACCATTGAAAATAACAGATGAAAACGGATTGGTGTTGTTAATATTTTTTAAATAATTATTTTAAGCCTATCAAATTATTTTTATTATTGGTGTTGCTAATATCATCTTATCGATTTTAATTTGTTATGCTTATTGTTATTTATGGTGATGATGGCGAAGTTAGTGGTAAAATATTCTCTTTTTATTAAATTTTGTAGATGCATTTTGTTAAATATTCTAGGTTAAATTAGGCTACAAATTCAGAGTTGTGAACAATACAGAAATCGACTGCATAACTAGGTTGAATCACATGAACCTTTTGACTGCACACAGAAATTGAATATTATGTTTTCGTATAAGCTTGAAATGCAAGTACTTTTCATCAAATCGAATGAAATGAAAATTTTCAGTACATAAATAGGGACTAAAATTATTCAAATGCTTCTCATCAGTTATTTATAACTTGAAAAGTAAATGAACTGACATTGCAATTTATCTATTAGGAAATTTCTTCCATCATATATCATTAAAGAAATAAATTATAGCGTTTGTTATAGGAAGAAGCAGTATAATTAATGTAACAATGCCATAGTTTCTATTTATCAATTTTGAGTAACTACATTAGAATGAATTATATCTTGATCATTTGGGTCGGAAACAATCTTGAGTTAAGAAAAACTATGACAAACTACACTTAATGTAAGAAGAAAACATTGATAAAATGGAAGGGATAAAAAAGTGAGTCGACTACAAGTAAGAAATCAGAGTGATGATATTTTGAGGTCAAAAGTCAAGTTTTATGGCGTTCCCAATATAATATTCGATCTGTCATGAATCACTTCTCGGGTTATAGTTATTTGTTGGTCAGTGATTTATGATAAAAGGCTATTTTCGAAATCTTTCTTTAGAATATTCGGAAATCATATGACGCATCAACATTGTGTTGTGTCATCTAACTGCCAGGTAGATGGATAAGATGGCAAGTGATTTCTTTTCAAATCCAAACACCTCAGTTTGCTTTTATCGAAGTCTACATAAGTCCATTCCCATGACTTCGCAAAATACATTGACTAGTGTGTTTGAATTCATTGATGAGGACAAATTTAACAAGGAATGGGGATTTATCGTTTTTTGCTCAAACCCAGCAAACGTAGTAAGTGAGCACTGAAGACAATCATGTTTTCAATAGGCTGCTTGTGAACCATAGTTCTCTCAGTACACAGAACAATGAATATCAGATTCTTTTTGGACGTGACAAGTACTACATGCTCCTCTTGTAACAAATCACGAACGCCATCACCATAAGCTCCATTCTTTCTGATTTATTTTATTCATTAACACAAATTTCTGATTAAAGAGCATCGGCTGTTCATTTAACACAAGCTTTGATATTTTAACTATTATATGTTTATGTAGTAGATGACGCCTGACTGATATGGTTGTCTGTGTTTTAATCTCTGAATACAGGCAACTAAACTAAACCATCAAGTAGATATTTCAAATTAATGAAGAAATTAACTGTGATTCTTGAAGCTTGGAATTTCTCCTTTGCTGATATTCATGACTGAATTTCGACCCATACTTGTTAGGATGCATAGAATTTTAATAAGTGCTTCTAAATATCCCTTTCGTTACAGGTATTCGTATGTGTTAATAACTGATAGCGGTTGGATCTACGACTCCCATGTTTTTTCACTAGGAATTCATCAAAAAAATTTCATGAATAATGAATAAACATCATTCACCTCGAATAGCTTGGTGACTATCTAACCTCAGTGTCATAGTCGTCTGAACGTCGGTACTTAAGGTGATATGTGATAAGTTCTAATTTCAACACGTACGTCAATATTGGCATATATGTATGTCCAGCTATCAAGTCCCAAACAGGATGAAATATGCGTCAAGAATCGTACACCTAGCCAACATCCAAATAGGCTCAAAGGTCAACTAGTAATTTTAAACAACAAGTTTAGATAATTCAGGAAGTTGATTATGACTTTCAATAAAGATGGCAAGGACCCCCATTTATTAAACTATCATGAATTGAGACAGAAAGTTTATATGTATTTTTCTACTTGACTTAGAAAACCCGTAACTGATGTTATGAATTATCCTGTCCCTCGATTTAATGGTAGTTGATGGTGAATTTACGCAATCAAAACGTGTAAACTGACACATATTTACTTGTTTTCCTGCTCAAGAAGTTTAGATCCACTTTGAAACTGTCATCCTGATGATCAACTGTTGAAATATCTTTTGCTTAAAGCTTTGCGGCCTACTCATCATGTTGACATCATGTTTAATTTTATTTATTTGATTGAAATGTTTGTGGGTAACAAGTTAAAAATTTGCTCATCAGTACATAAAAGTTTGTTGGTTGTTTAAATAATTGTTAGACATTTACGCAAACCACTAAAAGTGAAGAACTTACCGTTGTTTGGTCTTCAGCTAGACCAAGATCATACTCACTTAATGCAACCACAAATATGATTGCAGTTACATCTTGGAAACAATGAATCCATTTTTTTCTCTCTGATCTTTGTCCACCGACATCTACTAACCTACATTCATCAAACAATGAAAGATAATCATGAGTAGTTTTCTCAGTTCTGTTAGGAAAAACAGAACGTGGTCTGGAGTGCATTTATTAATCTAATTATTCACTGGAAAATTTCTGTCTTACAGATTTATTGAGGGTTAGATTATGAATTATAAAGAGTTGAGATAGATATGTGCTCATTGAGAAGTTTGCTTCAAATTACCCAAATGCAGAAATAGAAGATTAATTATTGTCTCTTACACAATCAATCATTCACGGTTTTATTTTATCTTTGCTAAAAATTAATGTCTCAATTTAAAACAGATTTGTAAATGTGATAAAACCCAAAGATAAATTTTGAAACTTATTACCCATCACGAGAATTGAAACATTCAGAGGTTACCATGGACCTATTTGAAAAATTACTTTGCTCCATCTCCATTCAGTCTGGTATCTTCTAAATTAATAAACCTCCAATATCCTAGACCTAATATACAATAATCCCCCTGTTAAAGACTTTCAAAAGTGGAACTTTATTCAGGTGTTAAATGTAAATCAATAAGTAGATAGAAGCAGTAGTGGTACTACGGTGTACGATGTTTGAGTTAGCAGATATAAGTATCATGTAACACCAGTCTGAAGTGGAATTTCTGTGAGTAGAATGTTGAAGATATTGAAATGAAGGGAAGGGATAAGCAATCAATATAAAAACAGGAACAGGGACAAGAAGTCCTGTAAGAGACAATTCAAGAAAAAATTGCAAATGGTGTATTTTCAAAAGGGGTATTTTGTGGAGATCTTAGTAATTTTATAGTTTAAATCATGAGTCAGTTGAAGCTAGACCACCATAGAAAACCTGGAATCTAGAGGGGCGGGATCGTGGATGCGCGCTTCTGAGGAGTCCCACAATATAATAAAGCAGCCGTCCAGTGCTTCTAGGTTTTCCATAGTGGTCTAGCTTCAATTGGCTCATGATTTTAACTACAAATAGTTCATTTGACACATGGTTTTCACGTTTTACTAAACTACTGTGTGGTTGCACAAGAAACAATAAATTGGTTTTCCCCACTTGAGTGCCCGTTCACTTAAGTACTAAATTAAGCCGAAATGTAAAGAATATTAATGAGTTTTGGTTAACAGATTGCAAGCTGAATAGATTGCCATATTTCCAAACGAGCGCAGAAATGATCATGAATAAAAATATTTGCAGATAAAAAGTGATTCCTTGGTCAAAAAGAATTATTTAAAAGTTACCATGCTTCAAACTTTAGTTAAAACACGTCATTTTCTCCGCTGAGCTGTTTGAAAAATTACATTACATAGATTAAGCATTGTTTAACTGAAGGTGAGATAAGGATGTTTTTAAGGAAACACTTTCCTCTCCCAATGTCTTCTGTTCTCAGACGTTCCATCTCATTCTGTTTCGTTTTCATTAAAAAAATAAACTAAAAACTAATTGATGCCGTAAATCATTCTCGGTTTGTCACATGAATAATATTTTCATGAAAAACATTGTCTTCTCATCACACTACTTAAAACTTCTCAATGGTGACATTATTGGAAAACTTGAAACTGTTGCCGCTCTTAGAGTTAACAAGTGTAATTTAAGTGAACATCAATCAGGATTCACTATTAAAACATTTACCGAAATTCAATCTTTTTGTAAGAAAACTGAGTTTCTTGTATACCCGTAGTCTTTACACGTGTTCTCAATACGTCTTGGTCGGTCGGAATGTAATCATGTTTAGCCAATCTATCTAAAGAATTGAAAAAACTGCAAAAGAATAGAAACAATGGAAAAGTAGTTGTTTTAGCTATTTGTTGTGAAAAACTAACTTATATGTTTTGTAATTCTTCCATCTTTTGATAATAAATCACGCAAACTCTTGATAATATCTCGAAATATTTACTCCACTGTCGATGGGTGATAACGCTCTCTTTGGAAGGCTAAAGTAGCTGGAGGTAAGATCAATACAGAGAGCAGTTCCTTTATGCAATACAAGGGAAGAAAATGAAACATGATAAATAACAATTCAAGAGCTGTTTCCGTTTTATTTCTTTGTTAGTAAAGCCATTAAGTGAGTCGGTAAATATTTTTAAAATATGATATCTTTCAGTCCGCGAAACAACTACTTGTAACTATCATGTTTAAATATGAAGCACGTAGTGTTTTCACTAATATATCTCCTAATTTCTTTTACAATGACTAAGTAACTACCGAGTTAAGCATCCAACTTGGTGGCAAACGCTGCTCAATTAATCAACCTAAAGATGTTAAGATTGGTTATCTTTACAATTATTCGTGTTATATCTATCTTCTTCGCCCCTTTGAGTGCATGCATAGAGTCTGTGGCAATATAAAATATTGAATGAAATGTTTTTTTACAACATATACTTCCGTCCAACGTGATTGATTTTAACTTTATTGGTGTGTAAACTTTAATTTATTATTTAAAACTTACTAAGATGCTGAGTCATTTAATTGATATTCTCTTGAACGCTTGAAACACTGTTGAACGCCACCATCATTCCAGAGTTGATAAAGAGCACTGTATAATTCAGTGGATAAGTAACCGTCCGCAGCCTCATTCGCACACGCGAATAAAGTTCGAGCATCATCCTATTTAAATTTTCAGTTAATAAAATATTATCTTTGATATTTAAGGAAGTAATAACTCAAATGCACTAAAAAGACTTTGACTAAGGGCCTAAAATGACTTGAAAATGATCTTTTGTCACGATTTCGCAAAATAAACGTATAACAATAAAAATAATATAAGACGAGGGAAAAGTATGGATAAGATCAAGTGGTCACATTTTCGCGTCAAAAAGCTCAGGTGGAAGATCATATACCAAAGGCTAACAAGCAAAATTTGGGTATCTTTTCAGGCATCTTCTTAGGCAAAATTTCATTACCATAACGAATAAGAACACAAGTGGAGACAATCAAATGTATTTTAACATGCACCACTACACATTTAACAAGGAGCAGTTACAGGTTAAACAGTAAATCATAATATGTTTATACCCTAATTGCCAACCTAGGTAAAATTATGTATAGGATTTATTTTATTCTGTCTGTGTTGCATAACTAGTCAGTTTACACTGTATGTACACAACTCTTGACCCTTAGTTATCTCCGATTTCAGTTAGCATTCCAATACAGACGGATTTATAATAGTAACAAGGCCTAAGAACATGGTAATTTATTATTACCCTTCTTCGACATTTCGACATTAGTAGAAAGGGATGGACCTTTGTGCGGCTAAGCATGGAAGGTGGAACAATCATTTATTGTGATACCACTTTGCCCAAAAGAAGGAAAACATTTGAGGGAATAAATCGATGAATAATTTAAACAGATTTTTCTTTAGTGAGATAAACAAGCTGGTGACAAAAAATTCAAACAGCCTAGCTTAAGAAAACGTGATGGATTTTTCAAAAGCCTAAGATTTTTAGCATTTCCACTTTCGTTTCAAGGTTTAATATCGCAGTTTCAGACATAAACTACGATTCGCAACGGCATAAGACTTAAGAATTAGGACAGTTAATTTGATTGAATACATAACAAATAATTCAAAAAAAATCAGTTTAAATGTGAAAAAAAGTTTTTCTTTCACCCTAATTAGCGCCTGAAGTGTTCTGAAGACCTGAGTGGATTTACACGTATTTGTCTATTCATTAGGAACATGAAAGAGCTATGTTTTTAAGTTCTAATAACTTATTAGGATTATAATACGCTTACTTGAGCTTCATGTGCAGTTTTCTTTAAATTGCTTTGTTTAAATAGTAAATTGTTCAAAACTAAGACACAACGGAACAATTTTTTTAAATGCCTTGGTCGACAGTTAGTAACTATCGATTCAACTAAGAATACACTTTTAAAAATTGGTTCAAGAAGAATAATTTTAAAATTCAAAAAACTTACTACTCTACACTCATCCTCAAATTTAATGTACAAGTGACCCATAGCTCGTATAATCGCTATCATACTCTGAACAGTGTTGCTATAAACAACAGGTTTATAAAGTAAGCATTCCTCTCTTGTATAGCTAGACTGGTGAATAATTCTATATAGTGTCATCTTAAAATATACTGACCCTACTTTAGCTGCTTAAGTATTGTGCTTTTCCCAGACTCACCAGCACCTTGAATTATTAAAACGATATGAAACTTTGAAAATTACCAAGCAACAAAAGCTTAGCTATTCTCGCCATTTTTTCACCATCGCTTTTGAGAGAGGCGTCAATCTGTTTAGATCTTTGAACAGCTTCCTTCTCGTCAATACTTAGTAAACATCCCATCACGAAATATGGTTACGGCGTTTACACCATGCGCTATTTTTATTCAGACAGCAATAAAACCAAGCTAATCTCAAAACTTCCTTATTTTTCTGTTTTGGGGAAATTATCAGTGGATCACTTTATTTTCAATGAATCTATGTCGTTTATCAGAGTAAAACTTCACTTGTCGAGGATTGAAAGGTACCAAAGCAGCAAAGACAAACGACTATGAATTAATACATAACTTACTGCTAAAATCAAGGATTATTGACTCCTTTGTTTTCAAAGCTCTTACAACACGTAGATTTTTTGAATAAATAGTGCAACGATAGTATGTTTAAATAAGGTATATGTTGACCCTGAAAACTTGCTGAACTTGCTGTGGTTTTAGGTAACTCACTTTACTTCTCTTTTCACATATGGGAGGCATTAATTTATGTAAGACTATACAGGAGTGCGATAAAGCGACATAGGTTTTGTCCTGAACGGAGTATAAGACATTTCGTGGAAATCTCTGGAGTTCAATTTTTTCAATGGACTTGCAGTGGTAAATAAATCAACATAATAAATAGTCCTGTCATTACCATTGACGTCTTAAGTAGTGATAAAGACCATTCGCAAATACGTTGACCCGAATGGTCGACAAGGGTTAGACCAGCTTGGACACAGTAACGAATCAAGAGACTTAAAGGCGACGAAAATGTTTCACCTTATCAATAACATCGTAGGTAAAAGAACTTTCAGCGAATTCCCTTCTAGACAACTCTTTATATCTATGCTTCTCAGCAGATGCAGTCAGTTCTCAGTTCATTCCTAAGTAAAACTATAGATGAGCTAGTTGTATCTGATAATAAATGAGCTTCATTTATCTTTCAAATTTTCGACATCGCCAGAAAAACCAGCCCTGAGGTTTGTGATCTGAAAGAAAAGCTCAATCGATAAAAATGAAATTATAAATTTCCCTAATACTATCACTTCCTTTCTAAACATCTGTCATGATAACAAATGTACGAGATTCCTTAGGAAAGCCCGTCACCAAAACAATCTGAACCTAGACCCCAGGTAACAGTTAACTACAATCAGTATTGGTACAATAACAACCACGGTGAGTCCTCCAGAAACTGTGTAGTTTCACTGACTTCAAACCTGTCACGATGAACCTGACTGAAAATTTAGTTTGTAACCCGCAGTCACACTTGATAGAGAAACTGTGGAATGGGTGGAATTTTTCACATTCATGGAAAGCATCATCGATGAACATGGAGAACCTGATGCAAACGTATAGATAAGGATTGGTGAAAAACATATGAGACTCAAAACAACTGTCAACCAGTACCGACGTTAGAATCTTAGTTATATTGTACGGAGCTGAAACATGGGGAACTACGACAACTATCATCATAAGTGTATTAGTATTTACGAACAATTTTCTACGTAAGATACTCAATTTCCGTCTACCGGATAGCATCAGTAACAGCCTATTGTGGGAGAGAGCAAGCCAACTTCCATATGAAAAGTAAATTAGGAAACGAAGTTGGAAGTGGATAGAACATACGTTGAGGAAATCACAAAACTGCATCACGAGTGAAGCGCTTACCTGGCATCTTGAAGGGAAACGGAAAAGTGAGAGACCAAAGAAAGTGCACCAGCTTAGGTTGTTTAGTTAAAAGTCGACCTCAAAGAACTGAGCATATATCAGAACAATAGAGCTCAAATATTCATTCGCTTCCTTATCCTGTATAGGCATTATCTTTCCTATCATCTTATATTGAGTGTTGAAAAGCTCTGTGTGTTTGAACAGGTATCGGCGATATCGGCGATACCAGAGTCTATGTGAAAGCTATTGTCAGAACAAGGACAATTTGACTTTAAGCTATATCGGTTTCTAAACATAAAAGACAATTAGATTAGTACAATAATTTAAGAATTACAGTCATTAAGTGAAACGCACAAGCATACCGACCAGTATTGCGCATAGATAACTACTACATGTGGGATATTTTCTCAACTTCCTTCCTCTTATCTCTTTTTCCATGTCCTACAGCTAATTGATTAAATTCTTAATATTTATTGGGTTAGAAATATATTGTTATGCACATTTGTATTTTCCACGAAAACCATTATTTTGCGTGTACTTTTTTTCACTGTCGGATTGTATACATGTGTACATTTACCAGTGTTTTTTGCACGGTTCGCTCGCTTACGCTAGCGTAAGTGTTCTTGGATACGAAGTTCATATACTTCTCGACGCACCAATTATCTTCTAAATATATATTCAAACATTTGCTTTTTTGTTGCTGGTTTTACTGGGTTTCTAATTTTCAGTTGTCAAGGCTTCACAGACAACAGGGTTGCCAAGAGCTAAATACCCATGAAACTTCCAAACTTAATATGCTTCGGCGTAGTATTAATACGATTTCGCCCAACTTCAGACACATTTAAGTGTCTCCCGATTATGTGACATTTAAAACAGAGCAAAGAGATTCTTTCAAAGGCATCTGCTGTTGCATCAGGTAGCTGTGTGTTCGAATAAGGTAATCCATATGAATAACCGAATGAGGATTTGAAACTTCTTGAAACAACTAAGATATGTAGTGGACCTGGAAATATAATTTAATGACTAGAAGTAGATACTGTTCCCATAGATTACGAGTATTTCGTTCCTTTGAGGGAAAAACTATTGTAGGTCGCTGACGTAGATAATCTGTATCGAATGACCGGGGACCAACTAACGACAAAGTCACACCTCGCAGCTAGTATCTAAAATTGGTTATCTTTCCATCGTATCCAGGTGCTATGACTGCTTTGAAAACTGTGCAACACAGAAAGCGTTATTACAAAAATATACTAGTGAGATTAGGTGCAAGGAAGAGGTTGCGATTACAATGGCATGAGCAAGTCCATGGTGTGAGATTAATTGATGCGCGTTGGTTGTCCTTGAACTTGAGGAGAATCGATGAACTGTTTAACACTCAGTGGCTCTCCTTTAGTGTGATCTGGCTAAGGCCTAGCACCAATTGCAACTTTTGTAGGCAAGAAAAAAACGAAAGCGCACTGAAAATTACCAATATCCTGGAAACGGACAACCCGATGCTTGGAAGAACGCTAGAGTATAGCCTTAATAAAATATACAAGATTAAAGAAAAATAGTCATTTTTATTTATGTTAGTCCATCTTTGTCCTTGTGGCCGAAGTGATGACCTTGTAGGTCTGTAAGCGCTCTATATAAACCAGCTGGTATACTCACTTTTTATGGTCAGAATGTCAAGTTCGCGGTCTAGCAATCTGCGCACTTATTTGGATAAAGTATGTTCATTTTTGTATGCTCATTGATTTTTCTGTAGAAGTTCAAACCCACCTTTGATCAGGTAAGTTAAGTTCAGCTATCTTACTAGATCCCTAGTACAGTAAGAAAGATGGCATTCCGTTGTCTGATTTGAAAAGACTTCTCGGGAAGTCTGACCTCCCAGAATCAAAAGTTCACAATCTTGTGGACTCGGCAGATAAAGATGGAAACCAGTTCATTACTTACGATGAGTTCCTAAAACAAGTAAGTATTTTCAAAATATAATGTATTACATTGCATATTGTCAGTATGTGATGTGGTGTGATGCATAGTAATAGAAAAAAGGTGAATGTGACAAACTACAAGCGTAGAACAATAAGTCTGGTTGATATAGTTGGTGTTTTTGTATAATAATACTTGTATTTATCATTTTAACTAATGGTGTGTTCATTTAGTGATATTTCTACTGATCCTTTACTGCACATGAGTAGTGTCCATTCAAATCCTAGTTCTTGTTGTGTATGTGTGCAGCTGGACTAAAGATTATGTTTTTTTTCATGGCAAAATCACTTGGCTATCCTTGTAGACATTATTGTGGTTGCTTCCAGTTATGCTATGGATTTATTGCGAAAACGTTTGACGCATATATTTCAAGCTATTATTCCGACACATTCAAGCCAACGTATTTCTCACCTTCGAACCTTAGTATTTATCGTTGAAATATAGTAACATTGTAGTTTATCATTGATAGATGAAACTGACGTTTTTGTGGTGGATGGTATCTGTGAAATTACATAATTGGAATATTCGGAGCACTTAATGGAATGCAGTCACTTGATACTTCGTCATATTTTCTGAATTGCTTTTGTACTGAAAATGAATTTTTCACTGATAGAGTATCAATTTTCTAAACATGTGGAATATCCCACTAGGTCTGTTTGGAACTCTTGAAATGTTAACTTTTAGTATCGTCAATACGAAGAGCTACTAATGGAAGAGAAATGCGTCTGTTCTCCTCTTATTTGTTTAAATAACCCATGACTTGGAACTGTGTTGACGTTTAACTGTTAGGTAACACTAATGGGCTGTTGGTTCAATTTTTTACCGTGTAATTAAAATTCCGTTTCATCACATTTATGTGTTGTGTAAACTACAATAAATGTGGTTCAAAATATTAATTTTCTCGTGTTATGTTCCGATAAGAATAAATGGTAACTTTTTGATCCATTTATGGACCGATGCTATGTATGTATTTTTTATCTTATTGTTAAATAACTAAACTATTCATATTCTTGTCCCCCTTATTATGAGCTTTATTATGGCTAATGAATTATTGTAATATGATTTACCGTTCTTTAGTTATGCCCAATCTCTTAATAGCTGCTCCCCCACATTCATAGCCACTTTTGCCTGAATCTTGTATAAATTTTATTTTCTAGTTTATGGTACAATGTGGCTTGTTTTTTGGTGTACAAACTCAGTATGTTTGGAATATAATGATTCATACCACAGAGGCGGAGATTGGTGTTCCGGACTTAGCTGGCTGGGCTAGACAGAAAGCAGGACCGACAAGTACTCTAGACTGCTCTTACGGATTTCGTATGCGTCATTGGTCCGATCGATAATTCACTGCTCTCTAATTGGCAGTATTATTGCGTCCCACATTAACAGGGCACCCAGGTGATCACAGGTTAAAACACCTTGTGTAGCATAGTATTTTGGTTGCGTTTATATTCCCATAGATCGAATGGTTCCCACAATTATATCTTTGTTATGTATTTCCATATTTTACTGCACACCTTTACGATTCATATGTTGCCACAGTGTATGGCGGACACTAAACATTTAATTTAGTCTCGAGGCATTTTGACTAAGAGCTATTTTTGAATCCTAGTGACATATTTCGGGAGCAGCTGGTTGTATAAACGTGTTGGGCAACAACGTGGTGGTCTTTGACAATCGTCGATTAAATTAACGTAATCTTTTAATCTCTTCCTGTAGTTAATAACGCCATCTTAGTATTCCACGTATTCGTTTTCCTAAATTTTGAATAGGTTCTATCTGAGGATGAAGGGACTCTCCAGAGACTGCGTATTCACAAACGAGTCCTCAATCGTGCAGTGTTGGCTATAGCACCAGATTGTGGACGCGAGCATCAGCGGGCTGTCGCTGTAAATTCTGGTTACGATGCTATCGATGGCTACAATTGGGGTGAAGCAGATGTTGATAATTATATACAGGCTTATGACTGTCGCCCTCCTCCTATATTTATCCCTTTGATAACTATCGCTGAGGTAATTCGTTTTCTGATTGAATGACAGTACCTTGTTTTACATGATTGTGTTTTTGTGTGTGAGTCTACAAATTATTTCATTGTTCACTAAGAAATGCCTGTCAGCACTATTCTTGTCCAGAATACTAATTCTGATGAGAACGAATTAGTTTTCGAAGACAGTCACATGAAAGCAACACTAAACAGTGAAATGGATCTCTATAATTTGAATCAGATCTGTATACGAAGTTGTAATTTTGAAAGCCACATGAGAAATGGTATATTTTGATTCACTGTATATGGTCTTTCTCACTATGTGTGAGGAGTCAACAATTGTCTGTAATTGTTCTGTATTGGATACTTTGTTTGAGCCATATTTAGACATAATTTTCAAATTTCCGGGGGCACATTGTTTCGTCGATCCCATTGTTCACTGTTGTGTCTTGTTTTTGAAAAACCATTTCATAATTTTTAAGTGATCCATAAGCATTGAAATATTGTAACGATAAGCTACTGCGATCATAGTTTCTAAAGACACTGAGATAAAGACATTACTGAAACAAGACCTCGTACTATAGTTTCATGCTAAAGCTTCGAAATGTTTTCCGTACACAAGTTTTTTCAGAAATGTAATGCGTACCAAAAATCAATTATTAGCCGGCTTTTATCATGTATTTCCTTTCGAATAGACAACTGTGATCTCCCTTGTTGAACTTTTGTTTCTCAGTTTTCTAAAAAACATCTGTTGCTCTTACATTCATCTGTCGTGGTTCTCATGGTTAGTATATTCAACCTCAATTTCAAATATTAAACTGTATAGTAGTAATAACATTGTGCCTTTACATTTCAGAAGTCACACGTCTGTGACTGTCAATACTTTTGATGTTTTTTGTTGTTTCAGATTGCAGTTTTTATTTACTACGTTGTTACTTATAGCAACAAACCTGGCTCATCCAGCATCGTTACAGCGTCATCTGGTGTTCCAATTGATAGTATACTTATTTATAACCCAACTAAACGTCATGAAGCATGGAGATTTTTAACCTATATGTTTATTCATAATGGTTATGTGCATTTAGCTTTCAATTGTTTACTTCAAGTTGTACTTGGTCTTTTACTTGAAATCGTTCATAAATTTTGGCGAGTTGGATTAGTTTATTTGTTAGGCGTTATTGCAGGTAAATTTTTTATTATTATTTGTAAAGTATTCTCAAACACTTATTTATTCGTTTTCTTCAAAATTTAAAATGTAAAGTAATCAACTAGAAACTTAGGTTTACTCAAAACGTAATGTAAAGTACATGACAACACTATAATTGGAAATATACTGTCTGATTTTAATTTCCGTGATTTCTTTCTCCTTTGATTTCGCTCAATTTAATTCCCAGATATCTATCTACATCTGGCCAGTTTTATGTAAAATTCTAGTCCTTTTGTCCTGTATATTTATGTTGTACGTGTTTGGTAAGGAATTTTTAGTTTGTCCCTTGATGCCTTACTGAAAAGTCAATAGTTATTTAATCTTGTTTTTGTTTATTAATTCTTTTACTATAGGTTCTTTAGCTCATTCTGTGAGTGACCCATTTGTTTTGTTGGCAGGAGCTAGTGGAGGCTGTTATGCACTTATTGGCGCTCATTTAGCTACTGTAATAATGGTATGTTGTATCTTTTCCCTTGTTGCTGAATATTTCCAGAAATCTAAAAAAATTATTGCTTTATCATCCGCCTATGGCAAGTGTAGAAAATATATTGTGTAAATCGAGTAGTAACAGTCTCAAAGCGTTTGAAGTTATTTGATTGTATATCATTTGATAATTAATACCCAGGAGTTGATTATCACTCGAACTAATAACATGAAACGACTTTTAATAAGAAATCTGCGACGCATAATCAACTGTTAGAAATATACTATGTCTAATCAATCTGGTTCAGAGCAAGTCAGATAGGTAGAAATATTTTCGAATTGAAACGGTAAAAATCTATAGAAAGGGGTATATCTTTCATATGGGATTTTGTTTATGGACATTTCATTTCCGACATGTTTAGGTAAATTTTCTCTTTGTTGATAATAACTGTCGGTGTTATTGTAATAAATTTAGTCTTATAATAAATTTATCGTTTAAATACCATTACTACAATGACTAGAAGGATCGAACTGGCAATTCACTCATTAAACCTGCGCTTAAATTAGAACTGCATAACATTCTTATGGTTAACACAACTTTCAACTTATTGGGTATTTTTTGTAGGAAAAAACTGTTTGTATACAAAATCTTCAATCAAGGTACTGTGACTAAGTTACTTATCAGTCGAGGAATTGTGAATGAAAGTGGAATTTACAAGAAAGCCAGCAACTCACATATAGGTTTTGTGCTTTCCACAGTCTATCTAGTTAAAGAATGTTTAGTGTGGATTGGAAACTTGACGGAAATCCTTTCAGTATTACATCTTTGTAAACACAATGCTTCGGCCTACCAAAAGAGTTTTGTACACAACATTTCTACCAAACTACGACATAGTTGCGATTTTCAGTTGCCATCTTTACTGAGGTGGCCGAATTACTTTGGATTCGCTTGTCCAAAACAACTGTTATTGGTTCGCTGGGTACTGTAAGTTTTTTCACTTAAGTCATGGTTGTAAGATGACACAATAGAACATTCAAATCATTTAGAAATTAGGGTCTTAAGTGATGTTTCAGCCAGGGTGACGGAAATGTGAAACTAATTCTTTTTAAATATTGGTCGTGTCTCTGACTTAGCTATTACCTTAAAAGCAACAAAGGAAACAATTTGCTGCAATTCTATTGATTTATTTGTTAAATTTGACCAAGATTTATAACTGAAAGTTATGGGCTTTATGTATTTAATCTCAGATTCGCTAATTTTTTTATATAAATATGATCATGAGATATTAGTTTGAATGACAACACTTTTAACAAAGTACCGGGTAGTTAAATATCAATAGGTAATTAGAAAGTCGTTTCTTCTGATACCTATCGGATTACAATAGAAAAATTACATTCGCAAATGAATTTTCTGTTAATAGTGTCTATTTAACTTTATCAAAGTTCGTGCTGTTTTCTTTAAAGTATTGTTTTTTTTCCAAATGCTTCAGAATTGGGATATAATGCAGGAGGGATGGCTAAAAGATCCTTTAAACTTTATATCAAGTGGTGTTGTCAGATTAATTCTAATTATTCTACTTGGTGAGTTATAATCATCACACTTATTTGTATTGTAAATTGTTGCAAATCATACAAGTGTTTATACATTTCTTCCACTTAGACCAATTCTATTTTAGTTATGCCTATTTTTTCTATAACTAATATATATATATATATATATATATATATATACCATAAGTTTTGATTTTCAGTTGTTGGTTAGAAAGTTGAATCTATTTCACCAGATACCCTATAAGTAGCTGTATGATATCTCCAGCTGGTGCACAGAATGTGTTGCTAAAAACAGGACATCTGAATTTATACTTAATAACTGAGTTACAGCACTCATCACATTATCTATTTTAGATACTGGCTTAAAAAGTCTATTACTTTAAGACTTCTCTTTCTTGAATTATTTTATGGTTGATACGGTTATTTTTGCGTCTAATGATCTTTTGTAAATATTCTATTAACTGTCATCCCATCAGTCTCTAGACACGACAAAGAGCGAAAACAAATCAATTCTAGGTTAACCAGAAGTCTGAGGAACGATCATCAGCAGTGATGAGCAACGAAAGCAAAAGAGAGATCTCTGCACAGATTCGAAAAGCTCGTTTGGATTTCGCCAACTTACGTCACCTATGGCGAAGACGAGACATCCGTCTATCAATTAAGGGACGAGTATACTGCGCTGCAGTTCGCTCTGTTCTACTTTACGGCTGCGAAACGTGGCCATCAAGAGTAGAAGATAATCTTAAGTTACTAGTATTTGACCACAGATGCCTTAGAAATATTGCTCGCATCTGTTGGGATCACCAGGTAACTAATGGTGAAATTAGACGAAGGGTATTAGGGAATGATGATGGTAAATCAGTTTATGAGTTCATGAATCTTCATCGACTGAGATGGTTTAGCCACTTGTTACTTATGCCTGAACACCGATTACCACGACGCGCTATTCTGACTAGTGTTGGGGATGGTTGGAAGAGAGTTAGGGGCGGCCAAACCAAAACGTGGCATCAGAGCTTGAAGTCACTAACTTCTAGTCTGAGCCATGTTGGTAGATGCAGACTACTTGGTTGGGGTCCGCGTGACTATCATAACCAATGGTTGGAGACTCTGTGTGACATTGCTCAAAATCGATCACAATGGCGTAGGTGTATACACTCTTCCCTTAAACAGTGAGATTAAGATTGCTTTATATCTGTCTTCCTTCCTGTACTATATTTTTATATACAACCTTTCTGTTGTATATTACCGCAACTAAATTAACTATTTCTATGAATTCGGTGTTCATCTTGTTGTGCTAATGAGGTATGACAACTTGGACCGATGCATATGTGTGCCTGGTCCTACGTTGTAATTGACTGACTTACTGATCCATTTTCCTAGTAATTTTATATCGTATGGTTTCAGGTTTCACTAGAATAAAGGGTCCTTGTTCTGTTTTCAGGGAATACATTAGTAATGTGCAATTATTTCAAGCATAAAAATCCAGAAAAATATTTTTCGTAATAGTGCAAAACACGGATAACCTTGATATCTATGATAAACTGTTTCATTTGCCAGAGTAGCGTAGCGGTTTTATTTCTGCTTTAAATACGTTTATTTCAGTTTGTTCAGGTGAAACTCGTTCACCTGAAACTAGTTTAAACTTTTATCAAATAATTGTTCATATAATTATTGATAGATGGTCATAATTAAACCAGATGTTCAGTATTTGTACACTGCATGTCAATTCACTAATACAATAGGTTGCTATCTTGTCTGCACATTATCGATAATGATTATTGTTATATGATTATTAGAATGGGTTTGATATTGTTGACTGAATCTCGATCACTCTTGGTCGGCATATGTATATTGTGTGCAGATTTACTCGATATAGCTATTTTGTTACATCCAGCCGAGTCCCAGTTAGAATGGAAAGCTCGTCCTAGATTCTATTGCTGACTACAATCCATATCTTATTTAAAAAAATAAGTGTTCTTATCTCTTCAACCTTCATCTGTAATATATGTACTCTACTATATAAACAAACGGGTATTTTCTGTTGATTATGGTTTCTTTATTAAACATTTTCTGATTTTAAAGGAATTCATACAGTACTCTTACCTACTGGGTTAATAAAAAAACACGTACATAGGAGGTAGTAAATATGTCTTAATTTATATTAATTAAGGTTAATATAAAATAATCTTTATTTTTATGTCCTTGTGTTACTAATTACATGATAAAACTATTCAACCATTTTCTCGGCCGTAGCTGATACCTTGACGTTGTGGTCGGGCTTTCCTATCGTGATGACCCAACCGAGCTATATTGGCTGGAACATATGTTCCTGTAGGTTATACCATGCCAGGCAGGTCGGTTGGAGAACAGTAAGACTAAAAGCAGCAACTCAAGATCTGAGGGCGAAGTCGTACTGCTGACTGTAGAGGGGTGTGACAGCAGTAATTTGTTTCCCTCGGACAACCAGCATCTGCAGCGATGCTGCCTTCTCACAAGGAAGGAAGGGGTTAGAAAAGGTCGACCCTAAAACTTTCACACCCCACCTTACCTCACGGACTTCCGTCTCCAGCGGTAAGGCCCTTTGAAGAACAGAGCTAACACATCAAAACCTCCCACAAAAAGGCCGTGCATGACCTGCCTCAAGTAGTTGTCCCTTAGGTTCCGCGGTCACACTCCCAGGTCGTTAATACCAACATTAATCCAACTTCCTTTTCAGGTTCCTTAAGAAATACTCTTCCACGGTGTGGGCAGCTGGGAAGTGATATCAGTCCTCATACTCATAACAACGCACGAGACCAAATTTGTCACATTCAAATCCTTCTTACACCTCCTACGTAAGGATGGCAAATTGATTGATGAAGTAGTGAAACTTCATCAGTTGAGATGGCTGGGACACGTGTTACGTATGCCCAACCACCGACTGCCACGACGTGCAATGTTTTATGGTGTAGGAGTAGGTTGGAAGAAAGCTAGAGACGACCAGACCAAAACATGGCACAAATCCATGAAGTCACTGACAATTGGACTGAACCATGCTGGTAGATGTAGACTACCTGGTTGGGATTCGCGAGATGATAGCAACCGATGGTTAGAGACGTTGAATGACATGGCTCAAAATCGTTTGCAATGACGAAGGTGCATCCACTCTTTGTGTTCTCCCAAATTCTTATCTGAATTTTCCATGTCCCTTTCTTTTTTCTCTTTCCAAATTTATTTCACTAGATTATACTCCTTGAATGACATCTTCAAACCCAAATCTTTCGGATTACTGCTTATACTCTTACTAGTTCTACCACTATGGGATTTGAATCGACAACTGTATCTGTGTGCTAATGTGGTATGACAACTCAAACTGATGTACGTATGTACAAAGTTCTACGTTATGACTGACGGATTCAACCATTTAGATTATCGAGTACATGTATCTCATTTCCATAAATCAGAAAAATTAGTTTTTTGGAAATTCATATAAAGTTGAAATCATGAGTTATTTAAAGCTAGACCACCATGGAAAACCTGGAAGCACTGGATGGCCGTTTCTTTTCATTGTGGGACTCCTCAGCAAACTCCTTTCAATTGTTACTCCGACTGGTATTGTAATCGTTTTTTTTTTATTTTCGTCATTTTCATTGGTATTAATACATGTTCTCTATTTTATTTTAACACTTCTTCAGGTGGTGGTGATACCGGGTTAGCTATTTATGCTCGATTGAAAAACCCAGATGAGAGAACTCGTGTTGGTTTTTCTGCTCATTTTGGTGGCTTTATAGCAGGTCACTAAACATATTTAGTTTCTTCTTACAATTATTTTTTTTGTTACGTATCCATTTTCTACCAGTAACCGATGATTAGTTTCTTTAAATATATGTAAATTGTTTTTTATTGACCCAGTGAGTTTTAGTGAGTTTTCATGCTCAATTCATAGTGAAAATTTCATATTCGTAGTTCGACTTCTAGAACCATCGTAAACATGTACGATACTAGATTGTACAACTATAGTTGCATTTAAACATATAAATTAACTAGCTATAAATTTATATTTTCTATATTTTTCTGCTACTTACATCTCTTAATAATTTTTTTTATAAAAGTGACTTAATGGTTAAAGTAAATGATTCCCAGCCTCGAGCTTATAGGTTTGAACACCATGCTACCTACTTTATTTTAAATAAATAACTAGTAGTAGTAGACGAAGACAAATTTAACTTTAAATTAAGTGCACACACAAAAATAATCCTAGTAAATAAGTTGTTATTATTAGAAGTAAGAAATACAAGCAAATGTAAATGTATTGACAAACGTAGATGCAATAATATAACTTGTTTAGTAATATCTTCAAAACCCTAATACATTGATTTATAGTAATAAATTTGACCTAGTCACATGTTTGCTCATTTGTAAAAGTATGCTATATAACCAAAGATTGTATTTATCAAATTAAATAAGGTAAGCTGGCAAATTATAACAAAAGAATTTGTTTGGATGCTGTTAGGAATAATGTAAGTGGATGTTAAACTATTGGCAGCCAATCCTAGTCCTATTCACATATTTATTTGATTCATTATTGCTAATCATGTATCGTATGTAACAAAAATTTACGTATTACTAATTGAAATCAAACAATATAATGTTTAACTCTGACTTGTATAAGGGGTAGATGGAATAGTTTTTATCCTTTAAACTAGTTCCTTATTATGTATGTTTTCATTGAAGTTACAAATGATATTTTTTCTGTACTGAATATGAGTAATGTTTTCTGAATGGTTAAGGACATCTAAGCTTTTATTGTTTGAATAAAAGAGTACATATGTAAACTATTAACTCAGTGTTTAAGCCTTGAACGTGGAACAGGTTTTGAACTGGAATTTTGAACTCCATCGTACCTCATTTGATGTCTTGAAATGGACTGTATAAATAAACTCAACTTTTTAGTATATAGCTGAAAGCTGAACACAAGATCATGCACTCAGTTATTGAGTTGTAATAAATTTATCCAACATTCTTATTTTGCACAGTTGGCAACTATTTGTTTACTTCATCAAAGTAGGGTAAGAAAATAAATTTTTTGATCGCGATGAAGTTTGAAAAGTAACATATTTAAGTTGCAAAAGGAGACAGTTAGATATGCTACGATAATAAGACTGAACTGGATGATCAAGTTTATAATACCGATAGATTGGATACTCGAACGATCCGCCATACACACACTAGATCACGTCATTATCAGATACACGATTCGAAACCAGATGTAGAGAACCAGAGTAGCGCTAGACGATACTTTATTCGACACAATTACAATCAGTCATTCCTTGTTTCTGGAATAGAAATCAATGAGAAGAGAGGAAATCACTTATTTGATGTTCATTAAGCTGAGTGCCTGTTTGTCCGAATTCAATGACCAATCAAATTTACCTTCACCACACATCAACTTTATAACCTAATGTATTTGAAGTGAGTTTCTGGGTTTTTTTTAATGGTGATGGTTCTGATTTTGAACGAAAAACAATCTGTTTCAAAATCTTAGTTATGGATCCCAAGAACTAAGATTTTGTACTAGTTATCTCTTAATTTACTATTAACAAATACAATGCGCTGACAGTATTCAATAGTGCAAACGATTTGGTCCATTAAGGTTCTCGGTACCTGTGTAATTGTGTCACAGGGTTGTGTTGTGCAGTTCCAGTCGTAAAGAGATTAGATGAGGCTTATTTCTCCTTAAAAGTAGTGCAAAATTACCCAGTTTCAGTGTATATTTGTAATGATAGTGTGGGGTGGTGGTTCAGGAGTTAATGTGTTTGTCTTTCAGCTACTGAGCCTCGGGACTCCAACCGTGCAGCCAATTTGTTTCTGTCGACCGGTTTAACATTTAACATGTGACTGAAAGTCAAGTATACAAATCGGTACCTGTCGGTTTTAAGAAACGAATAAAGCTTTTAGTTATTGCATTTAAGTTAGAAGAGCTTAAAATCAAATGACTATATATTAATTTTTCCGACTCATTGTCGTTGTACTACAAGCTGTTTGACATAATGCTGACACAGATTGTCGTTTTCAAGTAACCAATATATGCAAGAAAATGTAAGATTGTCCTTTTCAAATAGTGACATTGGAAAACATATCATCAAAATGTTTTTCAAATTTTATTGTGTTTGAATTTCATTATATATTTCTCACATATGTGTCTTATTTTTTTTCATTTCTAGGTCTTTTATTAGGTGTAGTTATTTTGCGTAATTTAAAGGTAGAAAAATGGGAAAAAGTTTTCTTTTGGATATGTATTCTTTTCTTCGTCCTATTTGCTATAGCAGCTATCTTATTCAATGTGTTTTGTGTAAGAATTAACAAATGTCCTGCCTCTATATGGAATACTTAATAAAAGTCTATCAGATTTTCAATTTTTTTGACGGAGAATTTATGCATTATTGTTCTGTGAAAACACATTTTTTCCAGATTGTGAATCTAATTTTGTATTTGAACGTATGTATGTAACTAATCAAAGCACTGTGCCTTTTTGTTGTTGTACCTATGTATGGGACTGTTTTCGTTGGCCTTCTTTGTTAGCTCTTACCCCTTTATTGATTTATTTAAGATATAATTTTTTTGAAACCGTTTATACTTTTTCGTTTCCTATTTTTATTTAGTATAAAGCCTTTCTTGTTATTATCATTTTTTTCTGACTTCACTGGTCTCTAGTGGTCAGTATACAATTTTTCATGAAATACATACCTTGTTTCTTTTATAAAAAAGGACAAGTAAATATTTTCCATCCAATAAAAAGGAATTACCATATTTATTCTTGTCTGGTCAACCTTTCATGCTCATTTCTTATACTTGGACTCTTTCTCATTTTTTTTTACTAGAATAACTGATATCAATGTGGTACATGTTGACACTTAAATACAAATTGTTGGTTTTGTATATCTTATTGTCTAGTCCTAGTGATTTTTGTTTGTTTATTCATTTTTCTTCAATCTGTAATCATCTCTGGGTATTTTGACTAAATTAATTCTTGTTTTGTTTCAGTAAAATCGATTTATTATTATTATTATTTGGTTGTGTATCAGACAATCTAAGCTAAGTAGACATAATATCATTATATTTTGTTTTGTAATGTATCAGTGTAGTATACATACATGAAAGAATGTTTACTTTTTGTGAAGGTTCATGAAGCGTCAGTAATGAGTATTTACTTTGAAAAAAAAGACAAACGAAAAACAGGACAGCTTAAATAAACAATAGAAAGTAAATAAATAAGATTCCTTATTTTTAGTTAAGATTTTATGTATAATTCAGTTTATTTATATGACTTTTTCACCTGATTTATTCACAATCTATGTGACTAAGATTGATCAATAAATTGTTCTTCCTTCATAACTTGTGAAGGTATTCTTTTTTTAACCATATAGATATATGTATTTGTATGCATTGCGCAATTAGAAACTTTATACATATGATTATTGTTTGCTAGTTTATACTTTCTATAATATATAGTTGTGTACTTGATATATTGTTCTTTTTCATACATTGGATAACCATTAGATATGAAGATTAGTAATTTGGATGATTTGATATTGTATTATTTGTACTCATTTAGTAAATAGATCGATGATTGTAAAATGATTAGTTGTTCATGCGCCATCTACATAGTTAATTATTATACAAAAGAATTATGATACTTGATGTCATTTATAATTCGATTTAGTATTTAGGTACAATTTTGTCAACCAGGCTAAGTTAGGTTTTAATATAACGAAAAAAATAAATGGTTTATATTACTGGGCCAGTGTGATCAGGCCATAATTACAGGGTAGCTATTGTATGGTCCTAGTTGGATTATCGATCAGTTCGCTTATATTGCTAATGATATCGGTGACTCTTTATTTATCAATTGACCAAACCCCGGAATCTTAAGGCGTATCGGCCATCGATCTGCTTTTAACCCAGTGTCTAATCAAAGATAAATCAGTTCTTCATTAGGTTTTATCCAATCATGGCTCAAAACTCACAATAATATAGTCAAAATATCTGACCACACAGCAAAACAGTTAGAGGATTATACTATGTAGATAACTTAATCATAAGTGATACGAAATATGAGTAATAAAATAATTAATATGAAATCTGGGACAAAAAGATTTGTGTCGAGGAAGAGGTTAGGAAAAGGAGAATGAAGAAGTCCCAGCGAAGAAAGTTTACTTTCCGATGATATCATTTTCTAAAGCTGTACAGTTTTAGCATGTGCCAGTCGAGAGCAATTTGCAAAATTATCAAAGGTAGTTAGACTTACTCAAGTGTAGGCCACTGAAAGTAAAATGGTGGTCCAAAAAACGGAGTTAAAACCTTCCCATAATCCCCTGAGAAATACGTTTACAACTACCCTGGTGCACAATTATCCACGTTCAAAATGCAAGCACTATCACTCTGTTCAAAATTTTGTGATACTTCTTGGAAAATTGATGGACTTTGCACAAAAATACAAACCTAAAACATTAAACAAACAGCTAACCTAAATCTAGTTTCCAAAGATCATTTTGAGCAACACAAATCAGCTATAACTGTTGTCATTAGTACATCAGTTTAGAAACTATCAAACGATCTTTTAAAGAATAAGGATTTATTACTTCTCCGCCTAAATAAAGGTGCTGGACTTGTTCTTATGGATAGAAAAGACCATTAGAGACATCGTTAATGTGCATATCCATCTTTTTAGGGTTTTCTAACATATCCAGACCAAGAAGATCAAGGTTCGGTAGTTCTGTTAGATAAAAAACTCCTCTACGGTTAATTCTATTTAAGGAAAATTCACTCCGTAATTCCTCAGCAATTTATAGAACTCCTGATGCATTCCTGGCAGTTTTCTGCGATTACCATATTCGCGGCCTCCCAAACAGTCTATACGTTTCTCTGGATAATAGAGTTATATACCGTGACAAGACGCACTGAGGTGCCATTAATCTGGGTAGTAACATGCTCCCTCCGAATGTCTTAGTTTGTTCTAAAAGGTGCTCCTAGAGAACGTGATTAAAATTCGGGTGACCCCACCATGTGTTGAGTACGCCTATGTTTCTTCTTGGGCTGGGGCGTGCTATTCAGTGGACGATGAAAGGTTTTTGCCCGTTTTCACTGCATATCTGACATTTATGTTAATTAAGTGGGTAGAGTAGTACATAATTTCAATCACCGCATAACCGACAAGCAGTCGTCTGTGTGTTACTTGGTGTTTTTTATTTTCTCGGCTTCTGAACCTTCAATCTAGTAATAGCATTTACACTACTGCAAGTTAAATTCGTATTTATTTCTTCAATTGTCGTGTCTAATGTTTTGCAGCCGTTTACACTCATCTATCAGTGTCCTGGGTGTGACGTCTTGATCCAGACGAGTCGAATTTCCAGTCTTAATCTCAGCATCTTGTGGTTACTGAAGAGCGTTGATGAATATTAGGCACTTGAGTCGGTCTTTCAACAATGAGCGTAACTCTAATTGTTCACACTCTTTGTTGATGAGATTTGCTGAAGCAACATAATCATCCGCTTCACATGTAGACACTGACATCGAGTACTAGACAATGAGGATGATTCACTGAATACCTCTGACAATTGAATTACCGTCTCCTCGAAACTGAGATTTCGAGGTGACTTGAACAATATGTGGTCAACACAGAGTATATGTTAGTTAATTTTCAACTTACTAATTGACAATCGAGTTTTTCACGAGTCATCTTTATGCAGAATTCTATTTTAAATGTATCTTTCCAAAGCTTGAACTACTTGAAGAATGTATTTCGACTTTCGGGGACATAGTTGAATTATTTGATGTCGCTGGCAAATGTATCACAAGAAGTAGTTTAAATAGCCTATGAACTCGAGTAGTGGATGTTGAGCTGTTGCTTCAGACTTTCTAACAATCTCATTTCACCGTTGACTTGTGCTTGCCGCTGTTGTAGAATTCCGTTAAGCTAGTCATCTGATATCGGCTTCTGGAATGTATTTTCTTTTTCGTCGTCGAACCCTGCATTTATAGTTTCAAACTCTAAAGCGTTATCTTTGCAATATAAAGAAACCGTAAAATAATGTGACAAACAGCAAGAATGTACGTTATTTGTGAGAAGTTACAAAGCGTATACATAATAGATATACATAACCTTGAATCATCCGTTCGGATCTTTCGGTGTATGCTGCAGTCTGAACCGTTTTAGTGGCCAGAGATTTGGCTCCAATTGTATCGTAGGAATGTTATTGAAATATTCATGTCGTCTATCCTAGTATATAATCGTTGCCTTAAATCGAGTTAGTGAATAACGGAATTAAATGATGAGAAGGGTTTTTGTGGATATTATAGTAACTTTTAATATTTGAAATCAATAAGTCAAATACGAGGATGGATCCTTGAATATATATATATATTGTGGACACTCATTGATCTGGATAGATAGCCAGAGGGACGAAGCGAATAGAAGAGAGCGAAGCGAAATTACGCACAGTGGAGACGGCATGTAAGCCAACTCGATTTAATCAAGCGTTAATCAATATTTATAGTCACAAAAAAATAAGATACAGACATGTGATGATTAAGATCAGATGTACACACACATACGCTCATATAAAAACAGTCAGGGGTGATAAACCAATAATTAACAAGGTCAGAACGTGACTCAAGAAGGATGGATAAAGTGGCCTGTCAAGAAGCTAGACTATTTTATGTGGGTTTAGCATAGTAACCGATACTACACTATCATCTCGCCTGGTCCCCAAGTGTTCTCCCAAGGCCATACTTTCTCTGTACTGAAACTCTTCACTCTGTCAGATAACTACGATGCCACGTTCCGCAACATACTACTTAAAAGCAAATTTGTGCGTAGAGTCCACTACAATATCTGCACATATTAGAAAAACTAAGCGAGACTGATAAAATTCAGTCTCAAACTTCACGAAAGGAAAATTACCGAAATATGATCATGATGCTTCAATTAGACAATAATCAACACTAATAACACATGTTTAAAAAAGAAGACAAATTATGATGTTCATTAAACAATTTTCCTGGTAGAGCTTTTGTCTACAATTAAGTGAACTAACCCTAAAACCTGTTGACACTGAAATGAGACAACAGAGATTAGGAGGAAAATGAAATAAGTCACTAATTCGGCTTAAACCACTCAACTTTATCACAGAAATAGTCACCGGAAGATTAGAATTTCCGTAGTAAGCTTGTTTCTGTTCCCACTGTGATCTATTTTTGCGTCAGATCTTAAGTGAAACTGAATTGTGAACATTGCGTTGAGAACACTGATCATAAGATAAAAAGTCTGTGGATTTAATAATGACCTTCATAGTTTGTTGGGAAGAAACTCAGAAACAACAGAGCACAAGACAATAAACTTAAATATCTAATATATATATATATATATATACTGCTTCAAACGGCAATTCATTGTTCATTTTCTAATGAGTCATGAAAACAAGTAGCTTGTCCTACCTGAGCCAAGTGTAGTAATAATGAAAGCCATTTGTTGAAGTAGAGAAAATATCTTCCAATAACTGAAGTAGTATTTAGGGTTGCATGTTTTCTGGATTATGCATTTATTTTTCATTATAGAACATTCCTGAATAAACTTGCCGACAATTGTAATTAATTGCTAAATAACAGATTTTTGTATCAGAATACAATCCAGTTGTTTGTAAAGATCAAATTATGGAATGGAACACTGCCTCATTGTTTTTATTTTTTATTGTTGGAAACGAGATAATGCATGTGTAGTTCTGATGATATTTAACCTTTTAAAATTGTCTAAATGCTGATTACAAATAGTACATTTTCTGCAGTAATTACTAGGACGTAGAAGTTTATCATTAATTTATCCGGATTAGTTTTTATTACCATTATCATTATGTGGTAAAAATTCGTCAGTCATGTATGTACATAAATGAATAAAATTCAAATGAAATAGCATTATATGACCTTATGGATTATAGTAGGATAAAGCGAGAAAATCTTTAGTATTTGGTGCAAATATTTTAAATGAACAAAAACGAACTTTTCAAAGAATGTTTATTTGTTGTTTGTATGAACTAATGATTCCTTTGTACTTGAAGTCTGCCTGATTTCGAATTCTAAATACAATACATTCGTTTGTGCTCGCCTAGTTCTGTTGGGTCTAAATTGCGTTATTTCAGGGATTCCTAGTTCATGTAACAATTTGAATACTTCTAATCATCACTGTTTACTTTAGCACAACTCAGCGAATTCCTTAAGGCGTTTCGCGGAAGTATTTGTATATTTGAACGTGGCTTTTCTTGTGAAATGATATCACTGAAAATAAAAGAGAATTGGGTTGATGTTTCTTGCTCAGAACCACACTCTCAAAATCAGAAACATTCGAATTTCACTATGAGAACCATAGTTTGTATTGTCAAAATCTGACTAACCACTATTACAACCGTAAAAAGCTTGTAATACAGTACAGTTCTCAACCGACTGACTATTTTACTGATCAATAATTCATAGTCAGATCTTTCAAACAAAATTTTCAACTTTGGGAACAAAACAAGTAGTACACAGTGTCTATAAAAGTGCTCGATACTGGAGCACAGTTACTTACAAATAACTTGAAGTT